TGTGTACCAGAGTAACTTGCTTGCCCAAAGGGCTTGTTGTATGAATTACTATAATACTAAAAACTTGCAAAGATTTTATTTACTTTTTACTATTGTTAATGATTTTCAGGGGTGAACCGGAAAGAGTTTTTCATGACCAATCATAATTATTCACACCCATGACAGAAATATAATATAACTTGCTTTACTGTTACCAATTCAATCATGAATATAATAGCTACGTTGTAGATCTACAGCTTGAGCATTTACGTCGCTCGTTATTTGCTTTCGCATTAGTAAAAATTTAAGAATTTTTAGAACATCCAAAAACAAGTCTTTTTATTTTAAGATAATTCGAAAACAAACTTTACTCCCAGCTATAAGAAATAATCTTGACCGAGCAGTAAAAAAAATCAAGATCTTTCGCTACGAACTTAGATGATCAATAATTCTATTGACACAAAACCAGTAAATTTACTGTGCTTATCTTAATTCTAAAAATTACTTTAAGCTATAAACACTAGCGTATGATATTCTATGCTATTTGTAGCATTACAGTATTTCAACACATTACTGCAATGGCATTATATAACGGCATTATGGTATTATGACATTGCGGCATTACGGCATAAAGTAATTACGGCAAATAATACGGCACATGTCGTAACCGTATTAATTTGTCAAATTAACACTACCGCCAACACTAGCATGCGTGCACAATGTCTGGTGATTACCCGGTGATTCAGAAGAAAAGCAAAATTGGTGTTAGAGAGGTTTCCTTATTAATCTTTGAAATACAGTAATGAGTATGGCGATTTATGCAATAAAAAACTATAAAAAAGAAAATATAAGAGATAATGTAGAAGGTTTATGGGGGAGTGGCGATTATGTCAATACAAAAACTTAACATCTTACATGTTGGGGGAATAAATATTAGAACTCAATCCAAATAGTAACCGTATGACTCTATTAGCAAATTGCATTATAAGAATCACGTAAAAATCGTGTAAAAATAAAAAATAGCAAGGTCATGAGACCCCTTCTTTATTTAATAAAATTGTTGCCGGACCAACAATATACAAATAAAAAAATATAAATAAAAAATACAATTAATTACTGTATATATGTAAAAATTGATAAGCTTAAAAATTAACCAAGAAAGAAAAGGCTAAAAACAAGACAAAGAAATAGTAAAGCTCTTCAAGTTTTTAGAAAACAAAGGGTTTGCAGATGTTGGCCAACTAATAGATCCCGAAAAAACTTATAGCACCTAGCAAAGCAGAGAAGCAGATACAAAAATAGACTTTATATGGATTTTGAGAGAATGCAAGCCCAATTGCCTTGAATTTAAAAATACCAAAGCTCAAAACATAACGATGTGCAATCATTGCATAACAGATACAATATGTTCAGTCTAATATGTCCAATGATTCTAAAAAAAAAATTTGATAAAAATGTAGCCTAACAAAAAGTTTTTCTTTGGTAATTTTACTAACCTTAACGAACCTTTTATGAATTTTATCGCTATCATGTGATCACGACTTTCTGGTGTGATACAGAGAAAGATTTTTCACATGATATTACACAATGTCCAATGTCCAATACTTTTTCAATGGATTGGACTGGACAAGGGTGAATTATTAACACCACATAGGTTATTAGTATATGAGTAAAGTGCATCTCCCTTAATCCCAATTGCTATTCTGTATATTATATCATAAGTAAATCTACGCATCCAATTTGGAAGGGGGTGGTCCAATGTCCAGCCCAATACTGATCTTATACTGTTATTAAAATGATTAAGATTATGAAGAATACGTATTGATACATTTGCTTGAAGTTGCAACTCCAGGCACGACAACTTCAGGCAAGTAACAACTTCAAGCACGACATATACTTCCTTTTTCAGGATTAAAATAGGCAGTTGCTTTACAGAGCAATTGAAGGAATTATTTATGTTTCAAGAAATTACATATCAAGTAAGTTCTAATTAAAAAAGTAATTTTATTGTCTAGTGTTACCCTGGGAAAATCGCTTTTGAATTCTTTACATTATGTATTACAGATAATGGCTCTAGCATTTAAGCCAATTTGATTTCATACTACAATTACATTTCAAATCTCTTCTAAAGCAAATATTTCATACAATGCATTCATCATAAAATGTCTATAATGAAGTGTCATCTCCATTTAAACGTATCAGGTTATTCAAACAAACATTGTCTCGAACATCTTGAACGAGCAAGAACAAATCTGAAAAAAAACGCTTTTAGATGAAGAAAGAAAAAGTTATCCGAAAACAAGTGATTCTATTAAATTAGTAAAAACATCTTTTTTAAACATGCCTTACTATCAATAAAGCAAAACTTCATATTTAGTTAGCATATTAAATGCCTTCTCTGTAAAATAATGATAAATTTATTCCACTTCGGTATCCCAGATGCGCAATTGTGTATGTCTATCCAAATAAGGTATGTTATTTAGACCTTCAAGTTCACCTATTCCCATCTCCTTTATTGAATCTTCATTGAATGTGACAAATTAATATAACTTGTAAAAATAAAAGCATCAATTAATGTGGAAATATATGTATAAATACCCTCAAATTGCTTATCTTTGTCAAAAAATTCCGAGATACGATAATATGTATTTTTTATTACGCTATGAAAAATTATTATCATTTTTAAATGTTTAATAATATGGAATTCAAATTATCAATTAAAATTAATTTATAAATACCTTTGTGGCAATCCTGCAATTTTCGCAGCACGTAAAATTGTATCCCATTTAATTGTAGGTTCATTATAATCTTCTGAATTTATATGCTCAGTCGTGAAGTCATAATCTTCTGAATTTATGCGATCAGTTGTAACCTCAAGATATTCCGATGGATCAAATAAATGTTGTTCTGAATCAGATGTTGACATTTCCTGTCTACACTTATTTCTGCAATTTAGAAGTGTTACCATTAAATTATACTGAAAAATAGTTAGGAAATTTTACAGCTTAGTCCAAATTTTACTACTCACTTATGAATTGGGCTAGAAATTTGAAAAAAATTTTTTTTGTTAGATGTTGGTATCAGAAAAGTATAATGAACATCGTATATATACGAGTATCGACAAATGATAACCTAGAGATTTTAAGGCTTTTATTTGACGACATTCGTTTAAAATAAGGCTTACTCTTGTATGACAGTCCAATGTAAGGAACCAACGGCATCTAGAATTTTTTTTAATGTGTCTTCAGCCGCAAAAGTGGTACAACACTTTAGTATGTTGGATGTATAATCATCAACTTTAATTTGTTCTGGTATCGAAGGTTCCTTTTGCTCATTAAAACTGTTCACTATATCTGTAATGAACCCTACTTCCTGAGCCATCAAACTATTTTTATTATTTAAGTCTTTATTAAACAGTTTGAATTCACGTTTTGAATCATCAGGAAATAACGTAACGGATGCATTCGCCATTGCTGAAATCGTTGTCATCGTTTTATGCCCTTTAAACAATATTCTAGTTAATTCTGGATCAACATTTGCTTCTCGATCTACCCAGTCAACTGGTTCACATTTTTGTGGTTCCCTTATAACGTTTAAGTGTTAATAATATCGATTATGATTTGTTCAAATAAGTTTTTTTTTTTTTTTTTTTTTTAGAAAAGAATTAACCCACGGTGCTATATCTTCAATCAACTCGGGCCATCGTATTTTTTCATTGGTACCCAAACATTTACTATAATAAATAATGAATTCCTTAGTAAGCCACAAGTATGAATATCAATATGATTTTTTGGCAGAATAGTAAATTATAAATTACCTCAGCGCACAATCATTATCAACAGAATATTTAAGCAAATGTTTTGCAAAATTTAAATCAGGTTCATTAATTTTGAGCGAAGCAGTAGGTAGAGGTCTAATTATATCATTTTCCGAGAATATTTGTTCTGGGTTGTATCCAGGTGGGTATTTGAATACCACATTCGCATCACGATCTCGGGACCAAGTCTTCTTTTCATACAAACGCTGAAAACATCGATCGATTTTTTCAATCAATTTTGTATTTTCCGATTTGTTTTTGAGCTTTTTGAGCGCTCTTAATCCTTTGGAATGCTTGTCTGGTCTTAACTCATAAAATTTCTGAGCAATAGCAGGTGGAGATCGGTTTGTGAACACGTTTGTAGCCAACCAATCCCAAAACATTGTAGGATTTTTCCAAAATACATCTATATTTTCCTCGATACAATCCATTAACAAGTGTATCATATCACATGACCAATATTGCTGGACTCTTGGACCAAATGAATAAGTTGGAATACCATCTTGAGTTCTCGTTAGTTTAAAACATAAATCAGATTGTTTTTTAGACTTAGATCGCAGGATTGGAGTTTCAAATTCGGAATCACTTACACGATCATCATCTATGAATTGATCAAATTTATTTAATACATATTTTTTCGAATATTACAATTTTTTTTTAAATCCCATAAATACTACCTGATGTATTTCTCTCACGAGAATATTTTGCTCGCTTAGCTTTCACTTTTGAGGAGTTTGTTTGTTCATCATCATCTATAGAATCAATATTTTGAAAAGTACGCTTCTTAGGTTCAGAGGTATTCCTTAATCTAATATACTCTTCTATTGGTCGATGACCAAATATTTCATGCATCCTGTCATATGAACAAAGCCTGTTTGGCCCTACGTATTTGATACCAATTTCTTTACATTTTCTAAGTTTTGAATAAATAGCTACAAGTGTATTTATTTTTTTTCCTATTTGTTTTCTTGTGAATTTTTTTTCAAAAACATTTGCTTTTTCAATGAATCTGTAAAATTCGCTTTTGCAAACTTTCCATTGTTCATAGTTGGCTTCAACATAATCGAGTAAAATCATGATCTCCTTATCAGTCCATATTTTATTAGGCTGTGTAGTTGAAGACTCTCCTTGTTCATCTTTGTCAGAAAAAACTGAAAGGCGACTAGTTTCAGTAGGTGATGGCGCATTTTGTTCATCAGCCGTGTCTTCGTCTGAAAGAACTGAAAAACTCCGATTTCTTTCTGTCGAGTTTACAATAGGGGGTAAATATTTTTCTGGGTGAACATATTGTGGTATTAACACTTTTCTTGTTGGATCAAAAATTAAGGGAAATTGAGTTTCGTTAGGATTTAACCCATTCTGTGCAGATTCTGGACCGTTTATTAACATTGCATTAAAGAAAAAACGAAATAAAAAAAAAAAGATTGATATAATTTATCGTTATCGTTATCGGTAAAATGCAGGGCCAATGATTAAAATTTGGCCTGGATTTAGGATCTAAAGTCATCATAATGCTGGCTGACATTAACAATCCAAAAAATATAATTTGATAGCAAATTTTACCTGAAAAACGGTTTAAGGCATACCAAAAATGTGTACAAGGTTCCGATTTGGATGATCACGTGATAGTCCGGATAGTTATTCCGGATCATTAAATATATCAATCCCTATGATTAATAATATAATAA